GGTGTGTGTGTAGTCAACTTGGCGAGGCAGTACAAGCATAGTATATACTTCATACCTTACGCCTTCTCTGCGAGAAGGCACGGGGCATCTACGCCGACTTACTTCAGAGATGTTCACTCAAAATGTAGATCAGTCTCCTGACTCCGGGGGGGGGGGGGGGGGGTATTCCGAGAAAAAAATTTTTGTTTCAGTGTAGTCCTCATGAAACTAGTGATCTAGTGCAGTTAGCCTCACAAACACTCCATTTTCTCTTATAAGACCTCAGAAGGGCAAGAATGGGAAGATATGATCAGAGTGATAATTATTTTTACCTCGGGAGTGGCCGCCAGCACTCTTCACATAATATATTCATTGTAGAGTATATATCATGTTTCTGTGTTATTTATATTGTTTATTATTTTCATATTAGATCAATTGTGATAGATAAATAAGTCATAGAGTTGATGTTAGCGTTATATTGAAGTATTTTCTCCTGCCTCCGGAGAGCCAGGAATTCCATTGGAATGGATTAATGCCATTTCAGTTAATTTCAATGAGGAAAATTGGTTTGATATATGAGGAAATTGAGTTATGAGCTGGGTCACAGAACGAATTTAACTCCTAAGTCAAGGTACCACTGTATGTATGTGTGTCCTGTCAAGTGAGTGTAAAATGAAAGCCTGTAATTGTTTTAAATGATGGTAGGCTTGCTTGTGTCTTTTTTCTGTCTCATAAACATGCAAGATTTCAGGTACATCTTGCTACTGCTACTTATACTTGGGGTCACAATACACTTGCATGTCCAAGCATATATATACACACCCCTCTGGGTTTTCTTCTATTTTTGTACTAGTTCTTGGTTATTCTGTTTTATCTCCATGGGGAAGTAGAACAGAATTCTTTGTCTGTAAGCCACATGTCATAAGAGGCAACTAAAATGGTGGGACCAAGGGGCTAGTAACTCCTTCTCCTGTATACATTACTCAAGTTAAAAAGAGAAACTTTTGTTTTTCTTTTTGGGACACCCTGCTTCAGTGGGATGTGGCCGGTTTGTTGAAAAACACGCGCACGCGCGTGCACACACACCATGCGCGTGCACACACACCCATGGGCAAGAAACAACACTGCAACCACCACAACACCACAACAAACCACACCACACCCACACAACACACCAATACACACAAAACACTACACACAACCACACACACACCACACACATACACCACAAACACACCACACCACACAACACCACACACACACACACCACACACACACCACACACACACACACACACACACACACACACACACCACACACACACCACACACACACACACACACACACCACACACACACACACACACACACACACACACACACACCACACACACACACACACACACCACACACACACCACACACACACACACCACACACACCACACACACACACACACACACCACACCACACACACACCACACACACACACACACACACACACACACACACCACAAAAACACACACACACCACACACACACACACACCCACACACACACCACACACACACACACACACACACACACACCACACACACACACACCACACACACACACACACACACACACACCACCACACACACACACACACCACCACACACACACACCCACACACACAAACCCCACACACACAACCCACACACCACAACAACCCCCACACACAACCCCCACACAACCCCACACACAACCCACCACCCACACAACCCACAACCCACACCACACCACACCACCACACCAACCACACACAACACACCACACCACCACAAAACAACTTATTTTTTGTGTACATGCACAAAATGATTATATTACCTTGAGGAAAAGAAAGTTATTGGTGGCAAACAACTCTTAAGATATAATTCCCAATAGGCATTCCCCCAGATCTTGTCAGCCAAGTCATCTCTCTAAAATTTTCAGACTCTCCAGTCCTTGGATGCAAGAGCTTGCATGAATGCTGTGAATGCTGGAAGGAGAGTGGTAATGTGGGTCATTGGACCCACAACAGCACAGAAACTTCCTTTTCTTTGTTAAAAGTAAGTACTTAACCTCGCTTGAAGTATTCCAGCAAGACTACCAATTTGGAGGGTATGCGAGTACAATTTGAGGCAGCACAAATCGCGTGTAAGGGAAGACGGAGGCACAGAATTTTAATGGTATGGCTGTTAGGTTCCCCATCTCATGTGGTAAGCAAAAATTGCCTGCAGGTGGAAAAGAGCAGTTTTTTCATTATCAGACTCCTCTAAAATGCCTGATAACATGTTTACACTATCATATATTAAGTACTCGATACATTTAGGCATAAAAAACACGAAAAAGTAAAATACAGTACATACAATACTTACATTGAAATATAGTGCCGGTCACCCTTCCCTTACTTGAATACTATATTCTGAAAGTGGCAGAAAGGCAATAAAAGCAGAGGTGTCGCTAGAGTTGGTGTCCCCCGGGGCGGAATCTCTGGTGTCACCCGGGGCAGCATCTTTGGTGTTACCCCCATGAAATTCAAGGGCAGGGGGATGGGGGGTAAACTCCAGTTATGTCACTACTGCATGACCAGTCAGTGACTAATATTTAGCAATGAGAACATTTAAGGGCCATAAACTGAACAGGAGAATACATCTCGACTTTATTAATGATAAAATAAATAATCGTAGTAATATTGAGGAAACAAACTCAAATACCACTTTGAGTACAGCCAACACATCCTACATTTACTCAACTTCAACAGTGCAAAAAAAAAAAAAAAAAAAAAAAAAAAAAAACTTGAAAAATAAAGAAAAACATTGCAATATCAGAGAAACACTTGTTTTGATTTGACCTTGAGTACAGGTAACTTCTCGGTGAATCTGATCTTGCATTTTCTTGCCTTCACTTATGCAAAATGATCTTTCACATCATCAAAAACAATGATTTTCCCTATATAGGCTTATTTGTACTTTGTATATATATAATAGGCTATATAGAAATAAAGGATTCTTCTCTTATGTTGGTGCAGCACTGTTTTGTGCTGCTCTATGGTGTCACCGGGGGCGCCCCCCCCCCCCCCCCCCCCGACGCCTCTGAATAAAAGCACTGAACATAATGAACAATGGCTCAATGAAAAGTCAATGAAAACATGGAACACTGACAAGATTGTACTGTATGTGCATGGCCCTCCTGTATGTAAACCTCAAAGACATGGTTGTGGCTATAAAATGTCAATCGACATTGAAGTGAAGAGCTGACCCTCGTGTCTGGTAAATCAGCCAGCATAAGATGGTCTAAAATGACAAAAATAGGCTTCATAGGGAGGCCCTGGATTACCTCTCTCACCTCTTCTATACCTTAATTCAGTATGATTGGAATTAATGAAACTAACATGTGTATGTTTAGACTGAGTGTCTATGACTATAAACATGCATTCGTCAGAAATTCATTCTAGAAGTAATAGTGTCTGGACAAGAAAAGTCTTTGGCATATACATCACTGCATAGTACAGTCATGCTCCAAAATTTGAAGCATAAGTCCCTAGCCCTTGTGGCTTAGCGCTTCTTTTTGATTATAATAATAATAATGAAGCATAAGTCTCATGAATCTAGAATCTGTGAATAGATTATTTTTTAACCACATTCTTTGTTTTCCACTAAATTAGGGTGACCCCAAGGAAGGAAACCCACTCCATGAATATTAGTTCAAATGTCTTGCAAACTGCAAAATCCTCACTATTGTTTTTTTGTGCCCAGGCACTTTGATATTGTTTGCCAGAGATAGGCCAGCATCAATATTATAGTAGCCAAGTGTCCTGTGTGAAAGAAATAGCAAGGTTGTCCATGTCAGAAAGGTGAATTTGTCTCAAAAGATAGAAATATGTTCTGAGGAGCTCAAGAGCAATAATTAAGAAAGGATCTTCACTGTTTAAGTAAGGAGAGGGAAGGAGGAAGATAGAGCTTCAACTCTCCCTAATCTGGTTTGAATGCATTCCTACCACATGTCTAAAAAACAGGCATGGTAACATTTTTACCAAAGGATATTACTGTGGTGAAAAAATTGGACTGCCCCATTGATAGCCAGGGCAGTGGAATGCTCGTGGATGAGGTCCTCATTCAGCAAAAACGTAATGCCTTGATGAGCCATCTACTAGAATGTTTAGTGATCGCATTGGATAGAAAATTTCCAAATTGAATTTAATGCAGATGACAAACTGTGCAGATCCTTGAAGTTAGATTCAAGTGTCAGTGAAGAAGGAACTCATCTTTAGTGTTGTGGAGAAGGGATTCACATTACCAGAAAGGAAACTCACGGTGGGATGAAGTAGCTAAGTTTCCTCTTTGTAAGGATGCCAACAACATTAAGGAATGCAGACAGTTATGAATAGGGCATCAACCTTGAATGGAAGAATTGATCAATATTAGGGCAGGACAAGTCATTGGGATATACCTAGATAGGTTGTGTGGCATGTTCCACCAGAAGTCTAGGGAATGAGAGGCAGTGGAAAATTTCGGTGATTCCTGTTGATGGCATGATCCTGGCACCCTTACTGTTTCTCGTCCTCATAGCAGATAAAGATAGGAGCCGCAGTTTCATATTATTTGCGGATGATGCAAAATATGCTTAATAGTCACTTCAGTAGAAGAGGTGCAAAAATTACAAGAAGATACATGCAAAATCTTATGGTGGGCAGGAAAAAATGTGTTCAGTGGGGACAAATTCCAGTAACTCAACAGAGACACTGTACGCAAAGCACAGGACCACCACCTCATAGAATGAAACAAACATGAAAAACACGGGTGAAATAATGTTAGCTGACCTATTTAGAGAACACAAAATAGGCAAATGTTGTAAAAGCGAATAATGAGAACTTGCAAAGCAAGGGAAATACCAATGGGGTCACAGTTCATATCACTTGTTTGGTACTGACTACTTCTTTCAAGGCAGGATAGAGAGAGATCTGAAACATTTACAAATATCGTTTACTACTCACATAATCAATACAGCTTTTAAACTGCTGGGAATGCCTCAAAGTACTAAATATGTACTCTTGAGAAAGTGAGATATAAATGATATTTATGTGGAAGATAATTGAAGGCTTAGTCCCAAGCCTACTCTCTACCATAACTATACTGTTGTGAGAGATATGGGAGGGAATGTAAAATCCAGTGAAAAGCAGAGGCACCATGGGCACAAAAAAAGGAAGTGTCAACATCTGTGGTTCTGACATTCAAATGGCCAGCAGATTGTGAATTATTACTTGTCTAGGAGCACAAATAAAATCTTGAAGCCAGTAGCGCTGTGGTCACACCTCTTCCTTTAAATGCGTAATCTACCAATTTATAATTGTGGCCACTGATCAACCACAGCATAGACATGGGAAGATCTTGGAACCATAACATTTAACAGGTGGCACTGTCATTTAATGTAGAATCCTAGTTTGATAGGAATGTGAAGGATAACGACAGCATAGACCATCAGATTTTGGAACCCTTACAGCAAGAAAGTGCATCACTTGCCATTTGGAAGTGTTGAGAAGTGAATGGAATGCAGTTTGATTTGTTAACCAGCAAGATTCTCACTGATTTGACATCTGAACCTGATGGGAACAAGCAGTTGTTTCTTGACGAGCAATTATGATGTATTGAGAATTGACTTGTGAAGGAGTAATCCAAGGAATTAGAAGATTTTGGGAGTGGGAGGAACTATAAATGGCAAAAGATAAATAAAAATAAAGTATCAGCCCTGACACAGCATTTAAGGTAATGTCTAATAGTGAAGGCTGCTCTATCCAAATAATTTGAGCTACCCTACCCCTTCCTTGTCAGTTCAAAATGATTTATTTTCTGTTCCCATGCAGTATGAAACCTAAGGGTTTAGGGCTTACCCTTGAATATGATAATACTTTATAGTTCAGGCATATTATATGTATAGTGCCCCTTTCTTTGATACCCCTTTGAATTGGCAGAAAAAATAAATTTTCTGGCTCATACCAGTCAGAATGCCAGTTTTATTTTTTCTTGGCACAAGATGCAAGGTTGAAAATCAACAGTAGGATTTCATCTATTATGTGCACAACCACAAACTCAGTGATAGCTAGAAAGCCATTTAATACAAAGCAAGATATTATGAATAGAGGAGGCAAGGCAAATGAGTGATAGTTTAATAAACCTCACAAATAACCTGCACATAGGAGGCTGAAACTTGTGATCAAAAAGTTGTCAAGAGTTTCTCCTGTGTGGGGGTTACAGTGTTTCGTTTTGAGGCATTTTGCTAATACGGACATTTCAGATTACGACCAAAATTCGTTATACTCCCCCCCCCCCCCCACACACACACACCAGACTCTCTATGGTCACTGCACATTATTGTTTACATCCTCTGTGAGCTCTGCATCTCCGTGTCTGGTAACTTTCCAAAATTTCAAGTGTTTTAAAGTTACTGCGTATTTTATACGTACTCTGATAATTATACATGTACTTATGTGTACTTGTACCTAAATAAACTTACTATGCTGGCATGCAGGTACACATTAACTCTTTCAAAGTCGACAGGGCCTCTCCCAGACTTGTTCTCAGGGTCGACAGATTTAAAAAAAAAAAAAAAAAAATCTTTTCCCGATCATAATGACACCAAAAGTATGAAATTTGATGGAAAACGTACGGAATTATGCTCTCGCGAAGTTAGCGGTCTCAACGATGTTTACGCATTGGCGATTTTGCCCACTTTGAACCCTATTTTCGACCAGTTCCAGTGTACTAGTCGACAAAAATCATAACTATTTCGCTAGAAATCCATTTTTTCTATCGAATGAATACAGCAGGGCCCCGCTTTACGGCGTTCCGCTAATACGGTCATTTCAAATTATGACCAAAACTCGCTATACGGCTCCCCCCACCTGACTTTCTAATACGGTCACCGCGCCCCACCCTGTTTGTTTACATTCTCCGTGAGCTCAGTAAGCACTAAGTCTCTCCATTTTGTCTGGAAACTCCAAAATTTCAAATGTTTTTAAAAGTTATTTCATATTTTATATATACTCTGATAATTATACTTATGTATACCTGTACCTGTGCTGGCATGCAGGTACACATTAAAATCAGTAAGAGTGTCTTATGTCTCCAGACGTCATATTAGTAATGATGATAATCATCGAGTCTCATTTAAATGTCGTATATTACGTTAATATACACATTTTCATTAATCCATCTATGATATTTTTTCAAAATTATATAATAAACACGATGCATAACATATAAATAAGATAAATACACCCCACAGTAGAATAAATAAACATAAATGTGAGATGTGGTAGCAGACGACTTGCACAAGTGACGCCATATTAGAAATGATGATAATAATAATAATCACCGAGTCTCATTAAATGTCGTAAATTACGTTAATATACACATTTTCATTAATCCATCCATGATATTTTTTTCAAAATTATATAATAAACACGATACATAACATAAAAAGATGATAAATACACCCCACAATAGAATAAATAAACAAATATGAGATGTGGTAGCCAGATAACTTGTACAAGTGACGGCAAGAATAACATTTTCTCTAATCTAACATAAGAGAAAATGTGTTACTGTGGGTAACTGTAGAAAATTATTCCTTTCGTATGTATGTAAGTTTATTCAGGTATACACAAATACAGTTACATAGAGTATCATACATAACATGTGTGTAGAGAACCTAGGATAACCCAAAAAAGTCAGTGATTTATTTCCATTGCCTTCACTCAGAGCATCATTTCTTCTCAAAATGATGTTACATGAGAAGGGAGTGTTCTTCTTTATTTATTCTACCGTATCAATGTAGAGACAACCTGTACACAATGTAACTTGTACACAAACCAGACGTGTACACTTTGTTTACGAAACTTACCTTTGCCTGGTTTATTTACATAACTCTGCGCCTGTCCTCTCTCATGCACTCTTCTTTCTCTCTCTCATTTATTCGTTTTATCTCATTTACTTACTCCTGACCCTACATTAAGACTACAAATATTTTAAGGTAAGTAATGAGTGAACTGTATATACATTTTATTGCTCTGGGATGCTTAAATATCATAGAATAGTATGTGTGGGTGGGTTGGCCAGGTATGGTAGCCTGGCTGACTACCATACATACCACACTTGATTTCTTACAATAAATACTACTTGTCTCACCCTAGATTAAGACTATAAATATTTTAAGGTAAGTAATGAGTACACTGTGTGTATTGTACTTTTTTATTGTTTTTTGATGCCTGGTTCTATTGCTAACTTAATATATGTTAGTGTAAACTTGTTATCTAGTGTTTGTATGCATTTATAAGTGGGAAAAAAAGGGTGTTCCACTTTACGGCGGTAGCCTGGAACCTAACCTGCCGTATAAGTGGGGCCCTGCTGTACAAGAAACCACCCATTTACCGATTTTAACTATCCAATAAAGTGGTCAGAATTTAACAATTTTGCCAATTTCACACAAATTTCAAAAGATGCCAATTTCCAAATAGGATCCAGAATAAACAAGAAAGACATTCCTGGCACTAAAATAACATTTCCTCTGTTCATTAATCATGTCCCCACGCCCCTCTTACATTCTTTTGCTTTCCACTTTGAATCTCACAAAAAATAGAAGATTTACTGTTATGCAGACTACTGCATTAGTGTAGAAATGGTATAATATCAGCGAACTTGTGAAAGAACATTTGACTCGCCAGTTGATGTGTATTGGACGCGTAGCATGATTTGTTTACTTTTGAACTTTGGCAAAAATCGAACATTTCTGCTACTTTGAGCTCAGTTTCAAGGTACTTTTCATTGTAAAACTAATCAAAATCGTCTCAATTTCTGTAATATGTCTTCCATTCTATTAAATGAGACCAGGAAAACTAGAATACCATCATAAATACCATACGAAAATACAGTGCAGTCGCTGTTTTAAACCAAAAAGTCAAATTTTTTTTTCTCTTTATGCACTGTGTGCTGCAGGATTTTTTTTTTTTTATACTGTGCACACTGACCACATAGACCCATTCTTTCATATGTAGGCCTACCAGCTTTCTCTCGTAGATTTGAAGGCGTTAGAATTTAGGCTTACTAGTACGTCAAAAACCCTGGTGCGTAAGCCGTACTAGTACGTCAGAAACCCCGAAAGGGTTGAAATCACTAAGAGTATTTCACTAGTCTTGAATATGCTATATTATTATAGAATATATTAGACATAAATATGAGATGTAGCTGGGCAGCTTGTTGGAGTGCCACAAGAATTACATTTTCTCTGGTCCAACACCAGAGAAAATGTGTACACTATAGTATTACTGGGGTAACTAGAAAATTATTCCTTTCGTATGCTTTCACTCGTAGCTATTTATTTATTCTACTGCACTAACATGAAGACAACCTGTACACAGTGCAAGTATTTGTATTGTGGGGTATATGCTTCACCAACTTGTGCAAATGTACTTGTTTGAACCAAAATTAGATAGGTATTAATATGCATCTGACAAGAGTGACTCCCCTCATGCTTTCATCTGTTTACAAATCTCGGCATTTCCTTCTCTCGTTTATGATGGCATCTAAGGGTAGTTTTAGAAATGATTAAACTCAGTGAACAAGGTGTGTCGATGGTAATAATTGCTCTGGGGTACTTTAAATTTAAGTCGTATATTTTGTGTAGTGATGGTAGCTGGTGTGGGATCTACCACACCCGACTTTCTACAATAAATACTCACCTCTCACCCTACATTAAGACTACACATATTTAAAGGTAAGTAATGATTGTACTGTGTATGTAATTTACTTTTTATTGTTTTTTAATGCCTAGCTCCACTGTTAACTTAATATGTTAGTGTAAATTTGTTATCTGGCATTTATATGAATTTAAGTAGGAGAAAAAACTGGCATTCTACTTTACAGCGATTTCCGTTTTAGCTTGGAACCTAACCTGCCATATAAGGGGGGGGGGCACTGTATTGTGCCTTTTTATTCTTTAACAAACATGTTGGAGTCTTGTCTTGTCTGACAGAATTTGGGGGTTGCCTAGTGGGAATTGTATTAATGTATTTTTTTTAAATATATTCAAGATGCACTGAAAGTCTATAATTTTGTGAACAGGAAACTATGTATTCTGTAGAATTGTTGAAGCTTAGAGACTAGTAAAGCTGTAAACTTGATATCCATCCTGAACACTTCAAAAAATGAATAAGCTGTAATGTTCCCTTTTAAACAAACCCATAAAAATAAGTAAAATATGATTACTTTTCTGCAAGAGGAATCCAGAACACTACACTGTTTTATTTGGACAAACTATCCAGGGATTGGAAGGGTCCTGGGTTCGATTCCCGGCGGGTGGAAACATTTCGACACGTTTCCTTACACCTGTTCACCTAGCAGCAAATAGGTACCTGGGTGTTAGTCGACTGGTGTGGGTCACATCCTGGGGGACTGGGTGTTAGTCGACTGGTGTGGGTCACATCCTGGGGGACAAGATTAAGGACCCCAATGGAAATAAGTTAGTCCTTGATGATGCACTGACTTTCTTGGGTTATCCTGGGTGGCTAACCCTCCGGGGTTAAAAATCCGAACGAAATCTTATCTTATCCTATCAATGTATTTTTATAGTACAGTATTGTACAGCATTTAAGCTGTGTACAAGCTTGAGTAATATTGATTAATATAATCAGGGTGAATACATTACTAAAAATATTCCCCCCCCCCCCCTCATGGTCAAGGTTGAATTTAACACTGACTTGGCAATTTCCATGAGCTCTTCTATTCCATAACATGAATGGAAGCATTAAAACAGTAAAGGAAATAGTGTCCATTTTTAGCCAGCTGCACGATGCTGACCTATAACTGTTGGCAGCTCATTAAGAAATGTAATAGTGACAATACAAGAAAAATACTATGGAACAAACTGCCAGGTAGTGTTAGTGAGCAACTGAGACATGCACATATACATGTGTTCATGTGCAAAACATGCATGTGTACATTTGCACACAGTGATTGGCTGTTTGAGAGGTGAGATAGGGAGGCACCACTGGTAGTCACAGATGAGCCACAGGGATGTTAATTTTTGGAGCAGTTGGGAAGAGGAATGATCTTGAAAAGGAGGTAAGATAGGGCCCAGGAGGATGAGTGAATTTGAAGAGTGGTAAGTTATGAAGCAGGGTCAGGAGCTGAGAAATCAACTTTACAACTGCAAAGAGGTCAGTATAGTCACACACACAAGCACATGCATACTCGCTCTCACACACACAAAATAATTATACATGTGCCGAATAGGTAAAACACGATTTTGACTTGGCAACGCTTTTCTTGCCAAATAAGGCAAACAAAAATTTGCGTATTCAATAATTTTGCAAAAATCATTCTGAACCAAAGGGCTGGCACTAGCTTTTTGGGCCTATGGTGACTTATTTAGCAGTTGCAAGCACAAAAGCAATGAATTATCATGAAATGTGTTGTATGAACCAGTGGGGTGATGGTCACATGCTGGTAAACAATGGGACACAGTGTGAATAGTGCTGGAGACTGGCTTTGTGTGCACGCTGACGGGCAGACGCGTACCAGAAGGTCGCCGAATCACGAGTCCAGTCACGAACCACAAAGCTAAATTTTGCCGAAAGTCAGATTTCACGAAAGTCGCGGCCGCCGAACGGCGGGGGTCCACGGTACTTGATATTGTACATTGCTTTATATGGCATAAATAGACCCTGAAGGTAACATTGAAACAGATAATATGAGTATCATATATTTTGGCCTCTCACTGAGGCCCTCTTCAGCAAACCAGATGTACAGATGATGCTTATATACAAAGGCAGGTCACATGACGTAAGTCCTGGGCAGGAACAAGAGACTTCAGGACATCAACTGGCCTTGAGATGGTGAAATTTTGTTCATATGCAATCACAGGAGATGTAAAATTTAGAGCTTGTATCATATTGTTTTTGTATAACAAGGGCAGCTTTCTATTTTTATTGTGGCAATGATAGGAAAACTGCCGAGTTGTCTAATGCACATCTACAAGATCTCTCTTCAGTTACTGTTAGTAATTAACTATTTATTGTATTAATTGCAACACTGAATTACCCATGTGGGTTCAGCGATATATTTTATAAATATACTAATTGCCATGTGTGTGATTACTTACAATTTTTGGAATGAATTTCATATAGGTACATCAAATACCAATTATGTTGAGTATGGATTGTGTTTTACATGTTCTGTGCTCTGGAAAGATGAATTTTGATAATTTGAAAAATATAAGTTTAGTTTCTAGCATAAAATTTAGTGTTGTTTGGGAGAAAGGTGGTAGATTACCCACACATGGGTACTGTATTCTTGTACCAAGTGGAAATTCATAATTAGAATTCGCTCTTATAAACAAATTCAGTGAATGATTTATACACTTGGTCACTATTGACATCAGATTAAAGAGGAATGTAGTCTTGGGATTGTCTCTAAGTGCCCTCAGATGATGCTCTCCACAACACCTAGAACAAGAAAACAGCACCATCACTGCACAATTCAAAAGACTGCTATCCAGAATGATTTATACACACACACAAAAAAAAAAGTGAAGCAGCAGAAAATACTACTGCATCAGTTTTCATGTTGTACACAAAAATGTGTACAACAAAAAAAGTGTAATCCCTGCTCAAAAGAAATTTGTATATCATAACCTTGACACACTAGGCATTTGTGTACCCAGTAGTTAAAAAGGTAAACTCATAATATGCTGTGTTTTGTTGCCAGAAAAATCACTTTCACAGTTTTATTAAGTAGCTACTTTTCCATGAGGCATTTCAGCAGTTTTCTAGGATTTGTGTGTTTGTTTCAGAACCCTAATATGAGCCAAAAAAATGTTTGGTAGGATTTGGTTAATGTAATAATCCTCAATATGTTTATGATAGAATCGTGCCCTAATTTTAAGATCTTGCAAGGCCAGTAGATGTATGATGACTGCACATGTGACCCTGCTCACTGAGTGTGGGAATGTTGTGAAGTTTGTCAGATTACATGTTGGTTAAAATTCAAGAGTGACATGTCATAAAAAAAAAATTTTTTGTTTACATTTCCTCTCCAAGTGAGTAGGGCCATATGTCAGTGTATCTCAACTTTGTAGGTCTCTTTCTTGCTTTTTTTTTTTTTTTTATATAATGCAAGAAATCATAAAAGCACTTAGAATATATACAGCTTCTCCTCACTTAATGACGGAGTTCCAGTCCTAAGATCACGTTCGTAAACGAATGCGTTGCTAAGCAAGGAGCGAACCATAATGGTACAGTCCCCATCCCTTTATCCGAAGTTTTTGTAGACGAGTGTGGAGCGTCAATCATCTCTACATAACTCCAACACCACCAGTTGTCACAAGAAAGGAGGAACACTGCAGCAGGCCTGTTGGCCCATACTAGGCAGGTCCTTCACAATCCATCCCACGGACAGAATACAGTGGTCCCTCAATAATCGTAGGGCTCGAGTCGTAGATTTCGGAAATCATAGACTGATTCGCGAATAGTAGTTCGTCCAGGGCAGGTACACACAGCCCCGAGCCGCCTCATACTCCATTCCCAGCCAGTGTGCCATTGTTTATAAGTGAGTGAGGATGATCCCACGAGTTCATACGATACATTTCATAATATTCCATTGCTGTATAGTCCTTGTGGCTTAGCGCTTCTTTTTTGATTATAATAATAATAATAATATTCCATTCGTTTTTAGTGTTTGCAACTGCTAAATAAGTCACCATGGCTCCAAAGAAAGCTTCTAGTGCCAGCCCTTTGGTAAAGAAACTCACATAATTTAAGAAAAAGTATGTAGAAAAGTATGAAGGTGGTGGTGGTAGAGTGAAAGCAGTTGTAATAGTGGTAGAAGGTGGTAGTGATGGTGGTAGAGGGTGTCTTCTTCAGTGATTCAGCAATTCTACCAACTCCTCCAATGTTGTTGTTGTATAGGGCTACAGAAAACACCGCCGCCTCAGCTGCTGCTTCACCACAATTATGGATGGCTTACTCTCAGTGGCCCTTATATACCCAACAGCACAACAACACCTCTCGTGACATACATAATGACTTATTTTATTCATTATGTCATATTAGTTGAATTGTGATAGATAAATTAGCTATGAGTTGATATTACTGTCATATTCTCCAACAATAAACTTGCCATCCCTCCCTCACACAAACAAGTCTCCAATAAGAACATAAGGAGGTACACTGCAGCAGGCCTGTTGGCCCATACTAGGCAGGTCCTTTACAATCCTTCCCACTAAGAACATAATGGTAGAACACTGCAGGTCTACTGGCCCATACAAGGCAGGTCCTTATCAAAATTACCTCTACCCAAAGCTACCCAAGAATTTACTCTCGTACCCAACGACACAAATCAAACTCGGCTCCTCCCACTCATATATTTGTCCAATCTCTTCTTAAAGCTACCCAAGGTCCTAGCCTCGATCACCCTACTGGTAAGTGTGATGTTAAATAAGAACATAAGAACTTAATAAAGTAGGAACACTGCAACAGGCCTGCTGGCCCATACTAGGCAGGTCCTTCACAAATCTAACCCACTAACAGAACAAATGCTACCCAAGCAATAAGCTCAGGTGCAAGTCCGACTCGAATCCAACCCTTCTCACTCGTGTATTTATCCAACCTAAATTTGAAATTACCCAAGCCATAGCTTTTAGAACATAAAGGAGGAACACTGCAATAGGCCTGTTGGCCCATACTAGGCTGGTCCTTCACAAATCCAACCCACTAACAGCATAACTGCTATACCCAAGCAATAAGCTTTGATAAACCTATTTACTCGTGTGCAGGATCGATTCAAACCAACCCCTCTCACTCATGTATTTATCCAACCTAAATTTGAAACTACCCAATGTTTTAGCTTTGATCACCTACTAGGCAGACCGTTCCACTCATCAACTACCCCTATTCCCAATGTTCATTTATACATTTTATTAGTGCTTTACATTTATATGGCATTCTTTTCTGCATGTAAATCTATATTTAAGCTAGGTAAGTGACCCCTGAAGTGACCTAGAGTCCTTATGGAGGGAGATTCCCCTTCCAAACAATAATGAGGAAATGGTATGGTGATACCGACAAGATGTGGAAAAAGACATGTACAGTTCAGGACATTTATTAAAGGGAACGTTTCGCCACGAGTGGACTGAAGAAGCCACTCGTTTCCTTTAATGAATGTCCTGAACTGTACATAAGTGTCTTTTTCCACAAACAATAACCTCTCTTCCCTCTCCTCCTCCTCCCTGTCTTCCATTCATCAACAGCCTTCAATAAAGGTAACTGTCATGTTGAATGTTCATTCTTTTGTGCATGTAAATCTATCTTTAAGGTAAAAAAAAAAATTTTCTTGATACTTCTGGGTGTCAGGAACAGATGAAATGTATTTACATTATTTCTTATGGGGAAAATTGATTCGAAAATCATAGATTTCGATAATAGTAGCACCTCCAGGAACGGATTAAATACGAAAAACAAGGGACCACTGTATTTGCCAATGCTATCCAGGCAATAAGCTTTGACAATTCTATTTACTCATGTGCAATTCCCACTCATATCCAACCCCTCTCACTCTGTTTTTATCCAACCTAAATTTGAAACTACCCAAAGGTTTTAGCCTCAACCATCCTAGGCAGACTGTTCCACTCATCATAAGAAAGGAGGAACACTGCAGTTGGCCTAGACCCCACCTTCATTCGAAAAACTGCTGGCCCCAAGGGTTTCGGATAAAGGGATGGGGACTGTAGTGAGTTTGTGTCAACCATGTTTAACCCTTTCAGGGTCCGTGCCGTAGATCTACGGCTATACGTTGAGGGTCCAAACTGTAGATTTATGCCATGAGCTCAGCTCACTCCGATAAGCTGCGAGTGGTAAATTTGGGCGTAGATATGAGAGAATACATCTGTGTGTATGTGTGCACCACATAAAACAAATCCTGCAGCGCACAGTGCATAATGAGAAAAAAAAAAACACCGTAATTTTTTATTAAAACAGCGACTTTGCAGTGTTTTTTGTATGTTTTTTATAGTTGTATTTGTGATTTCTTGGTCTCATTTCATAGAATGGAAGATATATTACAGAAATAGAGAAGATTTTGATTGGTTTTAGTAATGAAAATTGCTTGAAACTGAGCTCAAAGAAGCAGAAATGTTCAATTTTTGCTGATGTTCAAGAGTAAAAAAATGACCTCACACGTCTAATACACGCCAGCTGGTGGTTCTAATATATATTCACAAATGTGGTGATATTATTTATACAATTATTACAATATTGCATAACAGTAAATCTTGATTTTTTGATTTGAATAAAAATTCATTATGTGAAAAAATAAAAATGGAATTCATTTGTAAAGCCTGAAAACGTAGCTAATGAACAGAGGAATTGTTAGTTTAGTGCCAGGAATGCCTGCATTGTTTATTCTGGACCTTGTTTTGTAATTAGAATATTTTGAATTTTGCATTAAATTGGACAAATTACTAATTTCCGATCACTTTATTTTGTAGTTAAAACAGTCGAGTTGGCAATTTCTTGTGCTCAATCGATAGAAGTAATACTAGTGAAATAGTATTAGGTATGCATATTGGTGAGAGAGCCCATCGTAAGTCCAAGTCATTGGTAAACTAATACGTTGCTAAGTGAGGAGAGGCTATATATAATGTATACGTGTGTATATACCTAAAACCGAATCGATATTTCCCGTAAGAAATAATGTGAATATAATTAATCTGTTCCAGACACCCAAAAATATTAACGAAAAATACATTTTTTACAGATTAACTACAGTTTTACATACACAAAACAATGAGAAAGAAATACTGCAGTATTTTTAATAATAAATGAACATTACATACCTTTAATGAAGACTTGTTGGCATATGGCGAGGAGGAGAGGGAGGACTGATAATTGTTTGGAAGGGGAATCCCCCTCCATAAGGACTTCAGGTATCAAAGCCCTTTCTTCTTTCTTTTACTGGCACTAGGACCAGCTTGAGAGTCACTGTCGGACAAAAAATCTGTCCAGAGAGGTCTGTTTCTGGTGTCCAAAATTTGCCTGAAGTGGGACAAAGTTTTGTCACTGAACATGTTGCAGACACGGCTTGCAACAGCTTTGTTAGGGTAATAATTCTCCGCAAATCTTTGCAACTCGCTCCACTTTGCACACGTCCTTAATCGCTGAAAAAAAGTTTTTTTTTTTTTTTTCAGTGTTCCTGTGTGAAACTAGTGATCTAGTGCAGTCAGCCTCACAAATACTCCATTTTCTCTTATCCTAGGACCTCAGGTCAAAAATGGGAGGACTTGTTCAGAGCGGAAATTATTTTATGTTGCTACTGGACGTACACACTTGTCACATAATTATGACATTTATTCATTCAAGAGTATACATCATGTTCTATAAGTTTATTTAGGTTTGCTCACATACAGTTACACAGATCATACATAGCAGTTACATATTTACATCGATTATCTTACATAGCATGTGTGTAGAGAACCTAGGATAACTCGAAAAAGTGAGTGACACTTCCATTGTATTTCTATGTTTGTATTATTTATTATGAGCTCTTTCTTGAATTCTATCATGGTTTCTCACCTTCTTTACCAAACCGCTGGCACTCTGTACTTTCTTTGACTCCATGATAGCTTATTTCACAGTTGCAATCAACAAAAAACACAAGAAACAATGGATGAAGCCGCAAAGTATTCCTAATCCAACGAGAGAGACGTGCAGACTGAGTGTGATATGCGTGATGAAGAGCGTTAAAATTTTGCTGATAAGTGCTAGATTTCTGCGATGACCTATTACTGGGGTTCCACTATATATATACACATTATAAATGTGTGTAAAATATATATATGTACATTGCCTGCACCTTAACCCTTAAACTGTCCATGCGTAGTGCTCCAAAAGTAGATATACAGTGGACCCCCGGTTCACGATATTAATCTGTTCCTGAGAGCTCACCATAAACCAAAATTATCGGAAAGCGAATCAATTTTCCCCATAAGAAATAATGTAAATCAAATTAATCCGTGCAAGACACCCAAAAGTATGAAAAAAAAACTTTTACCACATGGAAATATTAAGTTTAATGCAATAACAATAATAATAATAGAATAAACACAATAGAATAATTGACACTTACCTTTAATGAAGATCTGGTGATGATTGATGGGATGGGAGGAGGGGAGAGTGTCGAAATTTTTAATGTTTAGAAGGGGAATCCCCCTCCATTAGGACTTGAGGTAGCAAGTCCTTTTCTGGGGTTACTTCCCTTCTTCTTTTAATGCCACTAGGACCAGCTTGAGAGTCACTGGACCTCTGTCGCACAACAAATCTGTCCATAGAGCTCTGTACCTCCCGTTCCTTTATGATTTGTCTAAAATGGGCCACAACATTGTCATTGTAATAGTCACCAGCATGGCTTGCAATAGCTGTGTTAGGGTGATTTTCATCAAAAAAGGTTTGCACACATTTCCTTAATTTCAGTAGTCATTAGCACCCTTGGTCTCGATGGGTTGGCACTAGAAGCTTTCTTGGGGCCCATGGTGACTTATTTTGCAGAAAAAAGCACCAAAAACAGTGATAATATGGATAATATAGAATGTATCCTTAGATGCGCGCACACTGGCTGGCTTGTAAACACTGGACACGTCTCGTACGAATCTTATCGCATACCGGGTTTTGTAACAGGAACCGAGGCAAATTTTCTGCGATATAATGCACCGGTTACTGGATACCGATAGCATCGTGAACCAGGGGCCCACTGTACTTTTTTTTTTTTTTTACATATTTTCAAATGTTGAAAAAACGTAGATCTAGGTTTGGACAGTTCAAGGATTAAAGGAGGGGTTTGGGATATTTAAACTGTCGTATCTAAGCGCCTCTACAAAGACTTGATTCTGTGAGTGATGGTGAAGAATTGAATGACTTAAGTTTTTTTTTCTTTTTGGATCACCCTGCCTCGGTGGGAAACAGCCGAAGTGTTTAAAAAAAAAAAATATATATAATGCTCTATAACCAACATGGAGACTGAAACACAGGAGGTTGATTGATCTCTATACAGTGGACCCCCGCATAACGATTACCTCCGAATGCGACCAATTATGTAAGTGTATTTATGTAAGTGCATTTGTATGTGTATGTTTGGGGGTCTGAAATGGACTAATCTATTTCACAATATTTCTTATGGGAACAAATTCGGTCAGTACTGGCACCTGAACATACTTCTGGAGTGAAAAAATATCGTTAACCGGGGGTCCACTGTATTTTGACTCATTTTCTTGAATCTTCAGATAGGCACGTGAATGAAGAACATGAATTTGTAGGAAAAAGTTGCCCCTCTCACCATGTGGGGAAGTAGGGAGTGTGTGGGAGGACAGGTCAAGGAAGGTGCTGGACGACAGGTCCTGTAGAGAAGTCAAAATTTCGGGTAGGAAGTTTCTCTGTCCTATACGATTCCTGTTCTTGTGCTAGCATTGCATTTTAAGTTGGTGCACTGGTATGTACTTCTTGAGGGTGAATTTTGAAATGTGTTGGTCTTGTTTAGTTGAATGCAAGATGCACAGACAGGCCGAACATGATCCTCAAGGATCATTGAACACTAGAGGGTAATAAGTTATGCACAAGATTATTCAGCCATTTTTCAACATATCAGCATCAATCAAAATATTCCTTGGGTAGCTGCCACCATCAAATATAAATCACACTTCAGCTATAAATGCAAAATAATACAATCTGCTCTCATAGCTACCACCCCCAATTTCAACATCTCACAGGGACAATGGAAACCAGACATCAAAATTCGCCCTCAAGTAAATACCATCACTCAAGCTATTACAGAACACTGGCACAAGAATTACTTAGCACAAAGGCACTTTCTACACATGATTAGCTTTTCTACATGACCTGTATTCTCACTTCCTCCTTGGCCCATCCTCTCCTGCATTCACCTGATACTCTCAACTCCTCCCCCTTTCAAATACACAAGTGAAAGAATTCACATTCTTTCACTTGTGTATCTGAAAGGGAAGTTGAAATATACAGATCAATGAATCTCCTGTGTTTGTGTCCATGTGGGTTGTTATTGAGCATATAAATACATTTTTCAACATATACTGGCCATCTCTCACTGAGGTAGGGTAACACCCCCCCCCCAAAAAAAAAAAAAAAAAAAAAAAAAAAACTTTCACCATCATTCACACACACCACTGTCTTTGCAAAGGCTCACAAATGCGACAGTTCAGATGTCACTTGAAACAGCAAATTTGAATTCCAAACCCCTCCTGAAAGTCCAGGCACTACTTTCCACCTCCAGGACTCAATTTAGCTAAACAGTTTCCCTGAATCCCTTCACAAAATATTACCCTGCTCACACACACCTGCTCAATGTTCAAGCCCCTTACACACAAAAACTCTTTTACCCCCTCCTTCCATAATTTCCACTACAGATTTATACATCCTCCAAGTCATCCTATTTTGCTCCATCCTTTCTAAATGACCAGACCACTTCAACAACCCCTCCTTAGGCATCTGAATAAGTTTTGGTAACTACACAATTTCCACACTACAAATTCTCCTTTCTGCAACATTCACAACCCATGCTTCACACCCGTATAAGTGTTTGTACCACTATAATACATTGCCTTCTTGTCTCCACAGATAACTCTGTGCACTACCCACTTCTAATTCCTTCATGTCTGTGGCTTACCTCATCCTTCATAAACCCATCTGCCAATAAGTCTACTCCCAAGTATCTGAACACACACATTAGTATATGCACGTACAAGTGTAGTGAAGATCTAGTTGGGTCACATGTCAAGTACAATTCCTGAGTGATATGTCAGGCATAGCTTAAATCAATCAATATCTGTATCTCTATATCTCTCACACGCACGCACAAAATTGCGATGAGCCAGAATTCAAACCTGCATCACCATGTCCAGCCCTGTGAGAACAGAACAATGTACACATTACTATACACAGGACCAACAACTATTCGTCCAGTGGATAGTGATGTGTACATTGTCCTGTTCTCAGAGGGCTTGGAATGGTGATGCAGGATCGAATCCTGGCTAGCCACAGATCTGTTAATGATTCAAAATCATTTGTTTCGTGGTTTCATTAGTATGTTTATTTATATACATAATATATCAACGCACCGGCTGTATCCCACCGAAGTGGGGTGACCCCCCCCCCCCCAAAAAAAAAGCCATTCACACAATGTTAGTCTTTGCAGAGGCAGCCATTGTTCTTCCTACCTCCAGGATTGAGTCCGGTTAACCAGTTTCCCTGAATACCTTCACAAAATATTACCCTGCTCACACTCCAACAGCTTGTCAAGTCCCAAAAACCATTAATCTACATTTACTAACAGACTCGCACGTGCCTGCTGTATGTCAGAGCCCCTTGCACACAAAACCTCTTTTTGCTCCTTCCCCCCCATCCTTTTCTAGGATAACCCCTACCCCTCCACTACATATTTATACACTGTCATATTTTGCTCCATCCTCTCTAAATGACCAAACTCACAATTGTTTGTGTATGTGTGTGTATATACAATAGCTTCTCACTTAACGATGGAGTTCCATTCCTAAGACCGCATCGGTAAACAAATTCGTCACTAAGTGAGGAGCATACTACAGTATAATGGTAGTGGGTTTGTGTCGACATCTTCGATATTGTTTTAATGTCACCTTTGCACAATTTATAACAATTCTGGTATATTTTTAAATGTTTATACAGCAGTGTACTGTATATTGTAATAAACAGAATAGAGGAAATCAGCTCTAATACACATTTAGGTATGCATACTGGTCAGAGCCCGTCGTAATTCCGATTTGTCGGAAAATGAGTACAGTGGTACCTCGACTTAAGAGTTTAATTCGTTCCATGGCCAAGCTCATAACTCAGTTCGCTCATATATCAAATCGGTTCTCCTCATTGAGATGCTATTAATCCATTCCAACCCCCCCCCCCCAAAAAAAAAAAAAAAAAAAAAAAAATTGTTACGGGTTTTTAAATAATGTAATTGTAAATAAATGATTTTTGCCTTTTTTTGCCAGGTCCCAGCAATGTTTTAGAAATGCTGGAGTATATGTGAATCTCCTTGAAGCACAGTGTAAGATGAGTGTCACTCCATTGCTAACAGTGCAGCAGTCTCTCTCTCATTGTCTAGCTCTGTTTATCTCTCTTCCTGTCTCTCTCGGAGAGAGCCACTCATGAACCAACAGGTATTTACACACGATGCAGTGTCGTCAAGTTGTCACGTCTGATTCCTGAACAAGTGAAAATGTGTATTACTTGCCGGTCATGCTTATTATGCCTTATATCTACGAGCATAGTATGGCACTTTGTCTGGATTTTTTGGGTTATCCTAGGTAATTTATACTATGCATAACTGTGTACCTGTGAGAGACAGGGGGAGATGGAGACAGCCAAAGCATATCAGCTGGCCTGCTGAACATGTATTACACGTTCCAGAATTTTCTCTTTACTTAGGGCATACATTATAGAACATTTTGGCAGGATGACACTACCAGTGGTATCAAAATTGAAAGGATGTTATACATTGGTTATTATCGAGGTTTTTGATATTTCCTCGGTACTTCCTGCGAGTGGTGGCATGTCTAAAGCTCAATCGTAACTCAAATTAAAAAATTGACAGAGCAATGGCTCATAAATCAAGGTACCACTGTGTCACTGAGGAGAGGCTGTATGTATGTATGTGTGTATATATATCTCACTACTGTACATTCAGTCTGAAAGGTGATCTGCAAGTGATGTCACATTTCTGGAAAGAATGCAATCAAGGGGTCTGACTGTGTGTCAAAAGTACTGCATACATTGATGCAGAGCACACAGATTCAGATCTTGCTGTGGACCAAGTGATAATGTTTGTGAGGAAAATTTACAGTACTTTTGACACAGCCAGACCCCGTGATTGCATTCTTTCTAGAAATGTGACTTCAGACTGTAGTGTATGAGATTTTATATATATACATACATACACACACACACATTGAAAATGAAATGTCCATAGTTATAGAGCAAAATCGTAATATATACTGTGTATGTATACATATATACAGTAACAGACAAATAAATCATATTTAAGGTACGGTAAAGTGTGAGAGTTTTGTAGCTGGTACTGATAGTTTGCTTTCAGATAGATGTATTACAGTGTGTATATAAGGTTAAATGAAACCTTTACAGAAATTAATGGTTAAACTCCAAAGATCTGTTTATCCTTATATCCTGGAGATTAAATTGCTTCCAAAATTAAATTTGGATAGACAATTTAAAATCTTTGTTCCTTGTACTGTCCTCATAATTAGGCAAACCTGTCAAGGGAGGTTTGTTGATGCTGGTGAGGAGCTCTTGTAAGGATTTGGTTATCTGCTCTTCCTTGGATCAAACCTGATTACCTCCCATTCCTCAGAAGCTTTATGGTCCTCGTGGGTTTAGCATGGCTCCATAAATGTACATGATTAATTTGAACTTATTGGCATCAGCCATCCCAAAGTGATAGCAATACTGGTATGTACTAAGTAAAATGCAATGACTAAAAATTCCCCTCATAGGTACAGTAATGCCAGTGAGGCATTCCTGAGCCAAGGAACTGGACTTGTACTCTCCTTGTTTCAAACTTGAATGCATACCAGGCCCTGTATGACCTCTGTGGGCTTAGCAATTCCTTCTGATTAAAGGTACCACATTATTAGGTATTTGAGCAATGCAGAAAAAAAAGCCTTAAACAAATAGGGCATTCTTGCTGTGATATTAAATAAGATATTCAGGAGGCTTTGACTCATTGGAAATGAACACAAAATTTTGTTGCTTGTCAATAGAAGATTCTCTCACTTTGGGATGTAGAGGTGTGACGAGTAAATTGTATAGTTCCACTTGTGGGTTAGACTTAACATCTTTCTCAGTTTCTCAAGAATGTTTAGTGGAGAGTCTGTGCCAGAATGGAGTTGCAAGTGCTGCCAAATGTTTAGCACAAACCCTTGACTGAGAAACAGAGAAAGGACTGTCCAAGTGCTTGTTAGACAAAAGGGGGGGGGAGGGAGGGATGGATTAGACTTGCACATTGTTGCTGTTTTGTTCACCTTAGTTCATTGTTTTGGCCCTCAAGTATATTTTTGGATATGTGACAGTTTAGAGTTTTAAGACTGTGTACCATAGCCTTGTGTAAGTATATAAAATATTCTTTATACATAATAGTACTATAAGTAAAAAATGTATACTCTCATATTGCCTGCAGATATGAATTATATTCTATATATTATATTTTGTTTTAATGTTTCCATAGCTCTAGCATTCATCAAATGAAAGTGCATTTATGTAAGATACTGTGACTTGCATCAATTAAGCAATGACTGGTGGAAATATACCCCACAAGCCTATCACTGCTCCCAGGTGATGTGTTTAGAAAGGAATACTTAGATATTTGGTGCAAAGTTATGTGAAGTTCCAGAGAGTTCTCCAAAGTGTGGTTTCACCTGCATAACCTGTTCTACTCTCACTTTGCCATTCCAAAATAAACTGAGGAAAGGAAATTTTCTTTCTCATCTTCCTTTTATCTGTTCTTGAATTAATCTACTATGAGAGGTTTACAATAAAAATTTTTATTCAGAGTGTAATGTATTGTGTAAAATGAGTGAGGAAGGACTGAGGTCGCCCTTTATCACAGACAACTAATCTATCCACATACCCCAGCCTTCCACACATAAAATTACTGATAAATGTACAGATATATAATATTCAATATAAGACAGCACTGTCAATACTATTGTGAAAATATTTCATAAAATAAATCACATTAAAGGTATTTCAGCATTATTTTTATGTGCAACACTGGAAAGTAAACCTGATCATTCTCAAATATTCCAACATTTGTGGTAAAATACTAAAAGCTGCACATTCCTGTGAGTATGAGTAGGCTCTTGAACCCCCCACCCCCTCCCTCCCCTCAAACTTTACATATGTACACACAAACAGCCTATTTATATAGAAATGTGCCTACTAATCTAGAGAGTAAAGTTTACATGAAAGCAAGTGAATAAATGGCCACAATGAAAGGTTAGTGTGGAAGGTAAGTCACCAAACATTCATACCACACACACAATAGTTAAAACGTTCACTGCACTGGACCCACAAAGTTGGGAAGGCAATGGCTGATAACTAGGTTCTTACAGCTTGTAACCAGCACACTTGTTGCAATTAGCTAAAGTAATATGCTCCTCTTTTGTACTAGTGCTGATATGTGAGTACTTTAAAACAACTTCTATCTATATTACAGGAACACCAATTATTTTTAGCTGCTCCACCATACTCCAGGACCATATTAATAACTTCCTGCAACAAACTAAAACACCAGCTTTGCCCACAAAAAACAGTCGACTTAAATTTTTTACACCACTGTAAGTAACATGGGCAGCTCTTGCAAATTTACTTTAACAAATATGTGTGTGTAATGATGTGAAGCTAAATCCACTAGGGAATGCCATCACAATCCATTAATGAGATGGCTGATCTCTTCATTGCAACCAACTTTACACTCAGTGCTCAATATCTCTTTGAGCTCTGCTAATCTTCACCTTGTCTTTAGGTGTTTCTGCCTCCCCAGTTTCCATTGCAAACATCTTCATTTTTTCCTTGAATGTGAGTTTCTCAGGACCAGGATTTTTAGCAGCAGCTTGTTCGGCTTGCTTTTGTTGCAGACGTCTCATGCGAGGATCCCTACAGAAAAAAAAAAATATTAGGTACAGTGGACCCCTGGTTATCGTCTAATTCGTTTCAGGTCAGTCAAAATCCGAAATGGACGAAAACCAAAGTAATATTGTAAATCCAATTAATCCATTCCAGACACCCAAAAATATTAACAAAAAATAAATTTAGTAAGTAATAGAGCTAGGCATTAAAAAACAATAAAAAGTAAAATACATGCACAGTACATTCATTACTTACCTTAAAATATTTGCAGTCTTAATTTAGAGAGAGAGGGTAGTAGTATTTATTTGTAGGAAGTCAGTGCAAGTAGCCAGTAGGTGTAGTCCACTTGGGAAATACCTACTGGCCACCTACACTGCAGCCCAGAGCCACATACCATGTTCACCGAGTTTGTTTCTAACAACTACCTTTAGATGCCATCATAAACAAAGGGAGAAGTAACGAATAATTCATGCCAGGAATTGTAAACAGAAGCATTATTTATTAAGAGGGGTGACTGAGCCAACGCAGACTCGCTCACATTTTCTCTAATGCTGGACCAAAGAAAATAATGTCTTCCCTCCACCAACTACCCCATCCCCTCCATAGCATATAAACATGGCATGTTTATACACTATGGAGGGGGTGGGGGGTAGCACATAAACATGGCATGTTTATATGCTATGTAACGTGTTTCTTATATAATTTTGAAGAAAATATCATAGATGGATTAATGAAAATGTCTATATTAATGTAAAATAAAACATTTAATGTGCCCAAGTGTGATTAACTATTAGTATTATTACTATGGTGTTAAGACTAGAGGGACAATCTTAGTGAATAATTAACAAAAGTTAGATAGCATATAAACATACCTATATAATTTTGAAGAAAATATAGGTGGATTAATGAAAATGTCTATAACATAAAATAAAACAATGTGCCCAAGAGTGGGTCATGAACGTATGAGCGCCCCAGGCGGATGTACGAAACCCAGGGTAAAATTCGCTGAAAAAAAGTGGTTGAAATCCGAATTGTACGATTTCCACACTGAACAAAATCTGGGAGTCCACTGCATAAGCATTTATACACACAACAGACTCACTTGGGTCTTGTGTTGATACTTCTTTTTTTCAACAAACTGACAATCTCCCACCAAGGTAAACCCAAAAATGTATAAACTCTCTCACCATCACTGTCTTGCCAGAGGGGCACCAATACAACAGTTCAAAACTACAAATATCCCCACTTTAAAGGAGTGCAAGCACTGTACTTCCCACCTCCAGGACTCTTGTACAGCTAAATGGTTATACTCCAGGTATACATTTTTTTTTTAAATGAACCAGCCATATCCCACAAAGGCAAGGTGACCTAAAAACAAAAATTAAAGTTTCTCTTTTTAAATTCAGTAATTTATACAGAAAGGATTACTAGCCCCTTGTTCCTAGCATTCTAATTGCCTCTTATGACACATGGCTTACAGAGGAAGAATTCCTTTCCACTTCCCCATGGAGATAACACGAAATAAGATACCAGAAATCCTATCATGTAAAACAATTACAGGACTTGAGTTATGGAGGTGGGAAGTACAATGCATGCACTTTAAAGGAGCAGCTTGGGATATTTGCTGTTTGGAATTGTTATATCCGTGCACCTCTGTCTGCCAAGACAGTGATTATGTGGGGGTCACCCTGCCTCGGTGGAAGACGGCCAGTGTGTGTAAATATAATATATAAAAATATATATATATAATATATTAAA